CAATTGTGAAAGAAGAGAAATCAGCAAATCGTAATGAGATAACGCCTCGGCGAAATGCAAATGAATTTGACGGTTGGATGGGCACGATCGCATGCTCGAGACTTTGGGACCGGGACTGGGAACAAATTTGGGGCAGACGCCAGAATTTCCAGCCTCATTTACAAAAATACATCCTCTGATTCACAATTACGATTTAACTTATAGTTATTAAGTTGCGTCACAAAGTTTGTTGTACCTAATACGAAACACTCGGAAATTAATTAGATTTTATTTTATGAGATTTATTTATTTAGAATATTGAAAACTAAGTAAGGGAAGCAGAAATATTTTTTTTTTGCTGTGTACCTTGAATAGATCATGCGCTAGCAGACTTGAAAGGTTGCAACTGTGTTTTAGTGAAACAAATTTCCTTTGAACACAACGTTATTTTCTATTTTAAATAGCCACATTTTGAAAATATTATAATATCATGTATATTACTTATTCAACTTTTCATTTGTAAAAAGGTTTCGTATAAGTGGTTTTAATGGTGTTAGTACTCGTATATAGTGTTAAGGTCCAAAATCAATCTACCATCACAGGCTTGTTGCAGGCCCTCTATAGGCTCAAGAACTTTTTGCCAACAAAAACTAAGGTAAAGCTTGTTCAGACCCTAATATTCCCTTTAATCGGCTATGTTGATGTGTGCTACTTGGACCTGAATGCAGATCTGCTTAATAAGCTTGACTGTCTTCTTAATAACTGCATTCGATTCGTCTTCAACTTACGTAAATACGATCACTTGTCTGAGCATCGCTCTCATTTAAAGAGGCTTCCAATTTGCCAACGTAGACAGACACGGGCACTAACTACCCTTTATTCTTTACTCTTCTCTCCAAGTTCTCTTTCCTACCTAACTACTCAATGCTAATATTAAGGTGCAAATCACACTAGATCTTGTCACATTTAGGTCTTCAAACAACTTGCTTCTTTAATGTCCCACTCGCCGCTCCGACTTCTTACAGTCTACCGTCTAAAAACTCTGCAAAGCTTTAAATACCTCTTGCGGAAACATTTCCTAAACACCCTATCAGATCCAAATTTAATATATACTCTCTACAAAAAATTATAATATGTATTTATTATTTATATATATATATGTGTACCTAAATACGTATTTATTTTACGTGTTAGTATCGTATTACTTATTGTGTTTTCTCTCTATCTACATAAATATCAATTATGTTATATTTGTCGCAAAATCTCTTTCTTAGTTTCTGTGCATCTACCATGGTTTAAATAAATCTTTGCATCGCCTTAAGGGTTGACTGGTAGTAAATGCTTACGGCAAAAGGTCCCCCTTTGACACGTTTCTATGTGCATAAAGTATAAATAAAAATAAATAAATTGCTACGATTTTAAAGCGACCATAACTGCGCCACTATCTAGGCATTGTTAGGCATACTCAGACATTGTTTGTATATTTATTTCGTAGTAACCTTGTAGCTAACCTAAGTAAATTTGTATCTAACCACTTTACTTATTAAAATGAAATTGAATTATGTTCGTTTAGTTTTACATAAACTTTATATGTAGTACCATAAATTGCAGAAAGTTTTGACTGCTTTTTTGTTTTATAACTACAAAACACATTTTTGTTACTTAATATTTTAGACATACGTATAAGCTTAGGATATTACATTTTAAATAGTGCGTAAAAATGAGTATTACAATTTTGATTAATGAAGAAATGCGTATAATTATTATGTTTGTAATTGAAAAAATGTAAACCAGATAGGATCAATATTCTTAACAACTGAAAACCCTTATAATACCTCAATGAGATTCCCATTTACGTTTAAGTAAACTGAAAATTATAATTGAAAGTCATGTGACGTGAAAAATGGTATCAAAATAATACCTAATTATTAGTTGAGATAGTCGTAGTGGAAAGACCATGTAGATGAAAAATAGATTATAAAACGCGACTACAGGTAAAAGTAGGACACCTTTCGTTCTGGATCGCTGTAATTATTGTTTTAAAAACGTTCACTGCACTACTATAATTTACCGTACTTAACCTTAATCTTAAACTTATTTAGTAGTTACAAAATGTAATAAAGACAGCATCATTATATCATAACTACTGTTGATTGCAACTCTCGCTGTACTCGTACCGTTCTGCTACTTAGCCTCGGGTCGGGTCGGGCCTATTGGTCTAGTGGTTAGTGACCCTGACCGCTAAGCAAAAAAAAAATAAAAAAATTGGCTTTGATTTCCACCCAGGACAAATATTTGTGTGATGAGCACAATCGTTTGTTCTATGCCTGGGTGAAATTTATTTATAATATGTGTGTATTTAGAAATATATAAGTATGTTTATCAGCAGTCTGGTTACCCATAGTACAGGCTCTACCTAGTTTGGGACTAGACAGCCGTGTGTGAGACGTGTGAGCATATTATTATAACTGAAAAATAAGTTTAAGATTTCCTATTTAGATATTTAAAAAAAACTAAAGCACTGGTACAGAACATAATTTTATTTCAAAAAAGTTCACTACTAGCATAAATTTGCATAAGAAAATTAGGCCAGGGGCTTTTCTCATTATAAACTGAGTAAAACCCCTTGCCTACGAAAGTCACATTTAATAAAAGTAATGATATCGAAAAAATATATTTTGGAAGTATTTGTTTCTGAAAGCAATGGAAGTTTTGTAGATGTATATGAGTACAAAAAAAGTAGGTTTTATAATAATGCGTCTTGTCACTAAAGGCAAGTAAGCCTTGATTACCTCATTAAGTAAAATTTAAAACTGATTATACTCATCAACATACACATTAACTGAGTAAAAGCATACAGCAAGTGCTAGTGGCTTTAAAAAGCTATTTATTAAGCTACAGATGTACAAGTCCGGCATTGATTCACCAGACAGTTACCACCAGTCTTCTTATAAGTAATATTTTCTTTAGCGCACTAATTAGGTGCTGTACCCGAGTCCACTCACTGCGTCGAACGCTGAAGGTAAAGGATCCACTTTTCATCGCAGGTAACAATTCGATTCGCCTTGTCGCGTAAGTCTTGCTAATGGTCGCTCAGTTCGTGTGGCACCCACTTACCTAGCTTCTTTATCATTCCGATTTCACGCAAGTGCTTCAATGTGACGCAAATGATATAGAGTTGGATCCGTTTCCGGTATCGCCTTCATTTCGTCGTTGTCGACTATAGTTATCGGTCGACCGCGAGGCTCGTTCTTAAACTCAAAATTTTCAGATCTAAAACGATTAAACCAATAATGAACCGTATTTCTGCAAGCAGTATTAGGCCCGTACACGTCGTTAATGCTTCGTGTTGTTTGCGCAGCGGTATTTCCACGTAGGAACTCATATTAGAAAATTCTACGAATTTCTTCTTTATCCAAGGCGCCAAAAATTACCGCAATTTCACAAAAAGAAAACACTATCAACAAATTACTGAATTTTTAATTAAAATAACATGCCTCTCGAAAAAAAAATTAATTTTAAATTGCGCGCCAATCCGCAGATAAGATCCCGATCTAGTTTGTGATGTCCGATCACAAACTAGATCGGGGTATAATATATGTAAAATATGTAAAGTTATTATTTTGATTGCAAAGTTATTTAAATCTAGTTTACTAAATGCTTCAAGGCTGGACTGTATTATAAGATAATACATAATAATATAATCAATTTACTTTAGTGAAAGCTCAATTTTGCATTTACTACAGTATATTTTGTAACCAGTACCAAATGTGATATTAAACTGGAAGCTAATTGATAAAACGTAGCTTAACAAAATATAAGGATCGTTGGGACCCATTTGAAGAGAACCTGGAAACTCTTAAGGGTCATACATTCGGCAATGATTAAATGTCGTTATAGATGATCGATAGTCACTAAAAGGAAAGAAGCTCGTTTGTTATGAACGAGGACACTAAATGGATTCTCGATAAACGAGGGTTACGTACGGACCACTCCACTTTCCCGACAAAAAACACGCGAATGGTGAATTCAAACAGATAAATATCTCCAAGTGTTTTGGATTGAAACATCATTAATTTTCTTTTGAGGAAACTGCGATTGTACATTTATTTTTCTTTGAGCATCTTTCCGTCGGAACGTATTGCTAAACGTTATTTTCAATATTTTCATTTAAAGTATATGTTAAAAAGAATTAATCTAATACAGCACTGTCTTGTAAAGTGGAATTTAATTTCTTAAGTTAGCAGCTATCATCTTCATAGCTTAATTTCAAGTGAACATATTTCATAAAAGTTTTACGAAAGCAACTTTGCTATGAACCTCTTAAAGAAAATTGAAACAGCCTTAAAGTTTACTGTTTCAGAAGTAAGCTCTCGTTCCTAAGTAGAGCCTGGATAACGTTACGGTATTTCGTGGTAAGTAGATAAACTTTACAGCCCTTTAAAAGTACATACTTGCCATCAGTGTAGCAAAAAAAATAAAAATTGTTCTGCATACTTTGTGTACTACTCCTCATTCTAGATAACTATTTTCTGTTATGATAAAAGATTTTAAACCGATTGAATGAAATAAAATCGTTTATTCTGCAAGAAGTTTACCAGAACACTTTTAAAAGTCAAACTTTCTTAGAGCAGGTGAGTTCGGCTTTTCCTTTTAACTGGACTAGCCCTGAGAAGAAAATACGAAACAATCTCATGAGATTCTTTCCACTTAAAAGAGACAATATTCCCTGTATTCCCAATAATACAGACAATATTCCCAATCTTCTTCAAGTGAAAATACATTTATCTCTAAGTAATATACATTTTCTCAATATTTTGTGTCTTGATTCTCAGTAAGAAATTGCTAGATACATATTGCTAATAATTAATTAATTAATTGCTATTAGGTGGTCTATCCCTGTGGTGACGGATTAAGAATACAAAGAGTCACCGCCGCAGTGGCGATAGGATTGTCCATTCCTATAAAACTTATTGTCCTATTTAAAAAAAAAAGTACTTTTAAAAGTAGATAAAACATACCTTGTAGTCTCCAAGATCCGATACAGAGCAAGTGAGCACAGCTTCTCTTCCCAGGGCTACTGTTACATTTTCTATCGGCCCCGCGAAGTCTGGCTCCACGTCCCTCAGCGACACCGTGGGCCCTACTCTGCTTAGTGGCGATGTTGTCTGATGTCGTAGACTGCTTTTTACCACTGGAGAGAGAGAAAATAAAACACATTTTAACAACATGATTTTTTAATCCGTCAACAAAATAATATTTATCTATAATTTTTTTTTTTTATTCCATCCCAAACGGTGCAAAATGGGTGTTGGAAATTTACATGAAATTTCGTTATTTTTTGTAGAAGCGTTTTTAAACTCACAGTTCACTCTTTATTAAAAGTAATAAATAAAGTTAAATTCTCTATTAAAAAAAAAAAAAACAACAATTTGTTTTACTTTTCAAGACGTAAGTATGTTTGTTACTCAATCACGATATAAAATCCGCTTATAACAGTTCTATTTTTTGGTACCAGTTTACAATTTATGTAGGAATTGTATAATTGTTTAATTAAATATTACACAACATTTAAGATTCTATTACCATTACGCTAATAAATCATTACGCTATTAACTTTTTAATGTACTCCATTTATAAAACTCTCATTTTTTAAGAGAGTTGCTTTTGAAGTGGACAGCAGCCGGGCACAAATAAAATAACCATTTTTGTTGACCCTTATTCAAGTGAGAGGAATAACCCTCTGTGCCTATTCAAATTTATACCAGCTGTGTATGCTTTCACATTTATTCCTCCCAAGTGCTATTTCATAACTTGAAATTTCATCTCACAGTCACGATTAACTAAAAGAGTATAAAAAATGGTTCTATAGCAAATCCAGTACCTAATGTCTAAAATAGTAGGTACATTTGTGGTTGCGTTTGTATAAATGGTAGGTTGGTATATATGTACTATACCGAGTCGTAGGCTTTCAGTAAGAGATAGGGCGAAGCCTTATCGCTATTTATGGGGTACAGTACCAATCTTGGACTATAACTAAACTCTGAAGGCACTTTAGCGGTGTCATTGGGATTTCCTCTGACATATGAACATTTGTAAGTTTTTAAATTATTTTATCTTACACAGTTGGCACCTTAAAAATAGATATGAAGATTATGAATTGATAATAACGTGGTGGTTTGGTGGCAAACGTGATATAGTAGACCTCAACCTTTCTAAGGAGAGGCCTATGTCCAGCAGTAGACTATGAAAGGTTGTTGATGATGATGAGGTCATTTAATATTTTTAGTACTTTCTTATTGTACGTGGTTTTTGTACGATACAAAATATCATAAGGTATTTTTAAAGCAAAAATTCTAAACCGATAGTCAGATAGGTAGATAGACATGTTACGTTTGAAAGTATATTGAGAAACTGTACAATGCGTGGTCTTATAGCAGTCTGAGATCTCTTACAAAAAAACAACGTGGACTATACTATACGGTAAAATCCTAGAAATTAAATACAGAATAATTGCACTTCACTAATTATCACACATCACACGATATTTAACGAACAAGGATAGTTTGTTCGCAGTATAATATAAAAAGTCTCAAAAACAAAATCACTGATGAGTGAACTATGGATTGAAGGTTCAGCTGATGGTTGGATTTCCATTACTCGGTTCCTATATTGCTGACTTTCAGGACTCACTTATCTAAATAAATCCTTCTTATCATGCAACATCCAAAATTTATGCATGAAACTAGGGTAATAAATGAGAATAGTGTAATAAATACAGTCTTATACTTGTCCATACACGTACAAATAATTAGGAATATAAAACAGTTCATGAATGAAGTTGGTGAATAAATGAGGTTATTACGAAAGTAATAAATGAAACAGCTCAAATGGGAATCTCGTGGGAGGTTTGAGTTGGTCAACATTTTACTATAAAATATTAATTATATTTGACTTATTAAATCACATTTAACACAATTTGCAAAATAAACGTCAAATTGGCAATTAAAAGCAAAAGGTTAATCTGCTCTGCTAATTTTAAGCACTGTGTATTACTCAAATTAAGTAAACAAACTAATTTGTTAAGGAACTATCTGAACTATTTATACTTTATAAAATTTAAGGTAAAGAGTTTCTGCGTAGTCTTATTAATATTTAATAAATACGTAAAAAAGCAATTGAACCTGATGTTGCTAATTATCACAAATGTTAAAAAAAATTATTAAGGCAAGGAATGTTCTGGTGCGTACAGCACGACTATGTGGGATGATGCCTCTAAAAGATGCTATGGTTTCTAATGAAATTTAAAAACTTCTAAAATTTATGTCTGATAAAAGTGTATTCAAACCACTACGCCATTCGTACGCCGTTACAATTTAAACATTTGTTTCTAAGCATTTCATGAGAGTTTTGTCTTTAAATCGACGAAGCAAGTGGCACAAGGTCAGATTAAACTGAGGTTGTGATTGGATATTGTTATTAAATTTCGATGAAAATTCGGCATAGTCAATGTCACAATTAAAATTAAAATCAGGATTAAGAGTCTGGAGTATCTCGGTAAATTATAGAACTAACGATACTTGTTACAGGGATCTACTCTATTTTGTGATTGACACGGTTCTTAAGTAGTTTGTTTAACCTTTTTATTAATACTCGTATTATCCTATATATTTTGTTCGAAATAGTCAGCGAGTTAAAAACGGTAGGTTTTAGGTCCTACCATTCTGCAATGTAAATTTACAAGGTTCTTAATTTAAATTTTGAAAAAAAAAGAAACAATTTGAGAGATAAAGCAACTGTTCCGTCTGTGATACATTTGATATCTCTGAAACAACTCAAGTTACTAGCAGTCGGTTCATTTTTTTTTCTCTCAACATTACGCTGGCGATTTGCCAAACCCACACTGTCTTACGGAGGATTTTGTACTTATAAAAATAAAATGGCTCAGTGTTTTCCTCAACAAGCGTTTTTGGAATTCTGAATTTGTTTTAATAGCGTCTTGTTTTAAAAACTAACTTGACTGTAATAGTTTTATTATTTTATTCATTGTAGAATTTTGGAATAATTAAAAAAAAAGTTTGTTTTCCGTAATTACTGAGAATGATATCAATAATGTTATAGGCATGTAAAGCGCGTGACTAGTTTACTTTTTTGTTTCTCTTGTGGTAATCGTGCATATTTTTTAAAGAGACGTGTAGATTTCAGTAGTATTTATTGCCTAATATTACAGAATTCTTTTTTTAAATTCAATAATATCAAATTATTTACTGGTTCAGTAATTAGCTTAAATTATTATTATAACAATAATACAGTTTAAGATATGCTAAATTGCAAGCGACGTTGCAGTACCGCAATGCAGAGCCATTTTGATAATGTATGAAGAGATGTTTTTTTGAAGTGGCTTTGTACAAACGTAAATTTCTTTTAATGTACACAATTATGTAATAATACAATTAATTAGAAATAATTAAAAATTTTGGTTGGTCAAAAATCAACTAAATGAAACTTTTTCTTGATTTCTGGAATTCTGGAAATGAAATTTACATCCTGTTCACAGCTCCAGGTGTCATAATCTCAATTTTTTGGTCCACTATAATGCTAGCAAGGTCACCGAAATTTTTACGGAGCTGAGTATTAATGTTTGCTGCTCGGTGAGGCATTTGAAGAATAAGAAGATGAAAAATAACATACATAAATTTGCCTAAAAAATGTCACGAAAAGTCCATCCTTTCCTAAGCGCTATCATTAAAGTTAGAACTAGAAATTGATAAAATAATATACTGCAGCTTACTGTAGTTGGTTGATATGAAGCTTAAGAAAATCTAATTCCAAAAAAACCTTTAGAAACCCGAGACTTGGCCTTTCCTTAAGCCTTTCGCTGGTTGAGTAATAACGTGTTTTCTTGACAAATGTGTATTTAAGGCCCCAATAATTACGGTCGAACAACTTTGTTATTAATCACATGTCTTTTTGTGAGAGATTTTAAGCTGTGTTTATATCTTCTATATATAGTGAAATGTAGTATGATCTAAAATATTGTTCATATTATTTTCAAATTGAAATGGAAAGACAACTTATGAGGCCTCCACATAATGAAAGGTTTATATGTCAAAATTTACGCTTCAGTATGACTACAAATTTATTATATATATCGTCTATACTTCACATGAACTCATTCTGATACTCTATAAATATCTCCCTTGCCGATTTCGACCACGGTGACTGCTGACTGTTTATTGGAGGGCTAGGATGACAAGCCCTGTCATGTGCCCTCAGGTAACTGTAGTAGCCAACCTTATGTTAGGACACCATTGATAAAATTATAGAATATGGCCACTGGTGGTCTAGCCTTTAGAGTACCACGCTTCTGGTATAACTCTGTTTTGTACTGCTCTTCAAAAGCGTCCACTTTTTATCGTACCAAGTGTACAATTTGCTTGGTTCTTTCAATTTGTCAGATTGAGATCGCATCGTAGGAACTGACCGCCTTGTTTGCGTTTTCTGTTCTGGAGAAAAATATGCGCTTTGCTAACCTATCCTCGGACATGCGCGAGAGGTGACCGCACCATCGGCTCTTCCACCGCATCAAGTACGCTTCGATTCCACAAGATGGAAGATCCCCGTGGATGTCTTTCGCCCAGTGGAGACCCACATCCTAAGGTGGCCGGAGATAGACCAATAGCCCTTTCTTCTCATAAGGCTCAACCCCTTGGAAACGGTCAGTTGTAGATCGGCACACGCATATCATAGATTTTGTATAAGTACAATTTTTATTAAATTTCTTAACTATTTGACAAAACAGACATTGTTGCTTTTATGTGTGTGTTGATTTACGACTTTAGAGTCTACATAAAATACCATTTCAAACAATTTTCTTTTTTTTTAAATAAAGGTATTTTAATTTGAATTTAAATAGGAACTATCGTGCTATAATAAAATATCTTTTAATTAAATAATTTAGAAAGACTTTGGTAAACAAGAGACTAGTGACTGCTAAGCCGGAGGTCGTGGGTTCGATTCCCACCCAGAAAAAAATAATTGTGTGATAGGCACGATGATTTGTTCTGTGTCTGGGTGTAATTTATCTATAATATGCATGTATTTAGAAATATATAGGTAAGTATGTTTATCAGCAGTCTGGTTACCTTAGCACAGGCTCTGCCTAGTTTGGAATGCCTAGTGTGTGATGTGAGAAGTTATTATTATTAATTAATTCGTTCATTATACGTCC